TCTGGCATTCAATTCAACATCATATAAGAAGAAGCTACACACATTTTATGGACCTGTTTGGCAGGCCTCCTCTCCGACTCCGGCTCCGGCTCCTCCAGAGGAGCCCTGCCAAACATTTTATCGAAAGAGTCGTTTTTCAGTAAAAAACAGAGGAGCCGGAGCCATTTTGAAGGAGCCACAATTTGTGGCTCCTCCAAAACAGCTCCGGCTCCTTCGAATGAGCCCCTCAGGAGGAGCCGTGCCAAACAGGTCCTATGTGTATACTATAGCGGCTCCATATATAACAGCCTATGTAGACAGAAAACGTGTCTTTACCCTGTAGCTCACAGGCATCGTCCGATCGAGATCAGAGACGAGCTGAGGTCTGAGGAGGCTGCCGGTGGTCCGATCGATCGACTTGACGTGACCTTACCTCGGTCCACGGTTACACAGAACACAGGACCGCTGCTGCACTCCCTCGACATGAACTTACGCGACTCTGCGGACTGCATGCGGCTCCGACCCCGATTGGACATGGCGCTACGAGGTGACGAACCAAAACCCAGCCCCTGCTCATGTCACGTGCCCGGGTGTGGAAACAAGGTCCCGCGCTGTCGCCGTCGTCGCTCGCGCACAACCACGGCCACCGCACGGCACGGTGCCGCCGGCCTGCTGCTGCTGCCGGCGCCGCACCACCACACGTATTCAGATCGACCCACGGAAACGAACTATACGGTCGTTAGCGCGCGTGCGCAGGGTCTCAGCCACGCGTGCGAGCGAACGCTCGGCGCGTACACTGTACAGGCAGCACACGGGCTGCGCCGGCTCCGGCAGCTGCCCGTGGTGGGCGATCGGGGGGGGTGGGGGGCACTCACCTCAGGTCGGAGGAGATCGCGGAACTGTGCGGGGAGATCCGGGGCCGTACGGTGGTGGGATCCGGCAGCCGTCCCAGCGGAGGCGGGCCAGTAACTGAGGTGTCCCCGGACCGGAGCATTGATGGAGCCTTCCATTTACTACGGCCTTGTCCCCACTGGCCCAGGATGTCCTGCGGCCCAGTGGGCAGTGGCCCCGCCCGGCCCGCCGGCGGCTTGATGCACTTTGATGATCCCACGTGGCTGGGATTCGGGACGGGTTTAGCGCGCCCCCGCGTCACGTGCTCGGTCGGATTTTTATTTTTACCTTTTATTACTTTCATTCATCATCGTCAGTTCGTCACCGTGCTCCGTCCGCGGGGGGAACCGCCTCGCTCCGGCCAGAACTCAGAACGGTCTGATCTCGATTAGACGGCTCGCAACCAGGACGAGTCGTGTCGTGTCGCTTCTGAGTTCTGATCGTTGCTGTACAACTTTTATGTGTGTGCGCGCGCGCGTGCACACACGCGCGTCGTGGTCGGTCGTTTAATCCGGAAAGCATGGGTGAGGACGACGGCAGTGGCTCGGGCCGTCGATCGGGCGCGTACGTGAGTGCGCGCAACGTGTTGGGTGCACTCGTCACGTGCGGTGGGGGCATGCAATGATGCAATGCAGCTGGCTTCAGCTGGTACGGCCGCACGGGTACTGAGATTTATCATTTATGGACGGCGGGCGTCACTCTCCAAGAATCGTGGTCGTGGTACACACGTACTGCACCGAATCATGCAGATGTCAACCGGCGCCGGCAGCAAAATCTCGCAGGGGACGGAGACGAGGGAGTGAGACGTCATCCACGGCAGGGGCTGCCGGCTGCCGGCTGCCGGCTGCCGGCTGCCGGCTGCCTCTTGTTCCGTGGCTCGTAAAGTCGTTATCACATTCACTCGCGGGTTTCTCGCTGGTGGTATTGGCAGCCTTGACGCAACCGGCAACCCGTACGTGCATGCCGACGCCAACCGCAGACTAATCACTGCTAATAGTGACGTGAGACGAGACAACCATTATAGCCTGTTTGGTTGCCTGTATATGGGCTGGCCTGGCCAGACTCCCCGTTGCATTCAGGCACCGTTGCATTCTCGAGCGTCTGATCGTCCGGATGATGCCACATTCCCGGTTCATTCCACCGTGGCCCGGTGCAAACCAATCCGGCCTCCCAAACTGGAGCCGAGCAGGCCACGACGCCGCGGGCTACCAGCAGGAGGTCAGGATATCATCATCTGCCTGTGTTTGTGCAGGCGCACGGTAATTCCGCTCGCAGAGGCGAGTAATGGCAAGGGAACCCGTGCCGTGCGCGCTGATCCCGAGCCGGACGGCGTGCCGCCCGGTGCCGAACACATGCCACACACTCACGAGCTGCCGTTCTGGCGCTCCCGCGATCGCTGAGCAGGACCGCATCGACGTCGGGGTACGCGCGATCGGCCGGGGATCTCACGCAGCCACATAGACAGAGTCGAGCCTCGACGACGACACGGAGCCTGTTCGGCGATCGTGGATTATAAGCTGAATAATATTTTTTTCTCACGTCAAATTAGCCAAATCAGCCAGCAGTAAATAATTCACGATCGTTTATGACGAAACGAACAGGCTGATGGTGCGCACACGTATCCCGAGGCCACCACCGTAAGAGCAACTACAATGTTGCAAGAAACCGGTCCATAGGAAATAATATTCAGTATGAAGTAGCTCGAACATTCGCCCTGTTCGCTTGGCTTATAAGTCGTACTTTTTCAGCCAACGAACAGTATTTTTCTCTCACAACAAATCAGTCAATAGTACTTTCAGCCATGACTTATCAGCCAAGCGAACAGGACAATTGTGGGGCTAGTCCATAGGTAAGAAATAAGAAAAGGTACCCATAGCACTATGGCCAACCCATAAGACAATAAAAAACACTATGTGCACTGTACAACTGACACAATACATTCACTCTCTTCGCTCACTCGCGAAGGGATATAGGAATTTGGGGACCGAGATTTTTTTATTTTATTGTGGGACCCACTCATACAGAACAATTGATCTCGATATATTTGTGGTGTGTTATTTAACTACTGCCACAGCTGTGGGCCCACTCCTATGGACTGGTTCAGCCGGATAGAGGACCAGACTATGGTAGGACGGACCACCCGTCAAGTATGTAGATTAGTCCTATACTTGTCATTAGGTAACATATAATAACAAAGAAAAGAAATGTAAGGTTTTGCTTACATGGTAATCCCTCTATCTCTTTTATTTATCGTCATGGTTTAGGTGTTGGTTAAACTTTCTTAAGTTTATTTGTAGAAAATATTAGCTACATTTATATCTCCAAATAAATTTACTATAAAAGTAATTCAACGATCTATCTAACGATGTTTAATTCTGTATCATAAATATTAATAGTTTTTTGTATATATATGGTCAAAGTTGATTACGTTTGACTTCTCGGAAAGCGAGAACGACAGTTAAAAAGAGATGGAGTGAGTACTTCATTTAATATGGTCATCTATATCACAGGATTTTTTGTTAAGCAAATTGGCAGGTGTTTTATCTTTCATGTTACTAGACTACTAGATACAAAGAGACCTTAAAAGGAAATATACAGAGCGTAGCCTACAAACAAGAGCAAACATGGCCCCTCAAAAAAAAAACAAGAGCAAACATGGGCCATGGGCCAACAATCTTAGCTCCTGCGCCAGCGCTAGGTGAGAGTGAGACATGGCTTAATATAGCGGTTATATAGTGCTTTAGTAGCATCTCTAGATTCTAGTTTCTAGGTTTGATTTTTTGTTGGAGCAAATTTAGATTCTTGTACTTTAAAACCAACGTCATTTAGTTTTTTTCTTTCTTTCTTTTTTTGAAAGACAAGGTAGTTCCTTTCTTTTTCAAATATGCCACCCACACAATGACAACACAAAATATGTGACGTATTTTGAGCTAAGACCCTGTTTGGATCTCAAGTCTTTTAGCTACTCCCTCTGTCCCAAATTATAAGTGATTCTAATTTTTTTGGAGAGTCAAAGCATCTTAAATCTGATTAAAATAATAGAGAGAATTACAAAGATTTTTAACATCGAAGCTATTCTATAAAAAATATAATTAATAAAGAATCTAATAATACTTATTTGATATCATAAATGTTACTTCATACTATTTTATTATATAAATTTAGTCAAACTTGAGATGTTTGACTCTCCAGTAAAGTTAGAATGACTTGTAATTTGAGACAGAAAGAGTACTAAACTATATCATGTATCCAAGAGTGAGAGCTATCCAAATGTTCCACACGACATATGTACGAGGATTGCGTTGAATGCGCGTGGACTTGCTCTAGATGCGAAAATGGCGCTGCCACGGCAGGTATCTCCGGGTGAGTGCCACAGCAGTCGGCAGATACTCGTACCGGATGCTAACAGTCTAACACGACGCGATCGATGCGGGTGTATAGTGAGATTTAAGGTAGCCCACGTATCGCGGGCAATGCAAATGCGCACCAGCAGACTGCAGCGAGGCAATCCGGATCTCTGACAGGCGATCTTTTTCGGACAAGTAACACGGCCCAGACTGACGAACCGTCAGGCCGTGACGCACCATACATTCATGCTATGCTAGCTACTACGCCCACTGCACAAGTCAAGGCGCAGATGGACGTACGAGCACGCCGTTGAGCTCAGCCGACGTGGTAAGGACTAGTAGGAGTAGTATCATTACTGGCAGTGGTAGCAAGGCCTACGGGCTAACAGCTCACGCTTGATCGTTCACGTGGTTTATACGGCGGCTGATATTATTTCGTTGCGAGAGAAAAACACTATATCATAACAGATAAACATGACTAATATGATGAAGCGAACATGGTGCTGGGTGTTTGACGTTGTGCAATCTCTTGGCAGAGACGATCAGGTCAGGTCACCCCGGACATATGGGATGTCATCAAGTGGCGTGTAGTAGTAAAGTAGTACTCCGCGGAAGCACAGGGGAATTATATTGGGCGCCATCCGTAGCCATCGATCCATCGACTGCCTGCCCGGTGCATGCTTCAACTTTCAAACGGGAGTTTACTCCAGCAATCAAGTTCTCCCGTGGAGTTGTTGCCCCGGCCCCGGCACTCGCCGATCCATCGCATCGCCTCGACACGCCTCACCGCACCAGAGGGATGAGCAGGTACTCCGCGTAGAACAGCTGCGGAGCCACGTGGGGAGTAAATGGTCAGTAACTGATCAACGCGGTTTAACGGTTTCAGGATTTCATTCAAGGGGGTGCAGACAGATCGTGAGGGTGATTAAGCTGGGCACCAGGACAGTAGGCACCACACCACACGGCAAGGGGTTTCAATTTCAAAAGAGGAAGAGATAACTGGGCCAACGAACGATCGGGAATGGAGGCAAGGCTTACCTTCCAGATGAACATGTAGAAGGATGTTATTGCAGCTTTGCTCGTTAGGTCCACAGATCGCGCGCAGCTCCATAAGATCGCAGCAAGTATGGAATGGCCAGCAATCTGCAAAATGCGTCATGGAAGTTTCGTAACAAAATGGAAAACCAAGATTCATAACGATCGAGCTAAAGCAGACGAATTCTTTTCAACCATTGCCATCAGATTCTCAGGGGAAAATGGGGGAAAAAAACTAGAATATAATATACTATTGGAAATGGTGAAGCTGGAGTAATCTCATTATGTTGATGCAGAAAGGGCAGTACTGCAGAAACCACGCGTGGTTGCAGTCATGCTCACACAGAAGCTCAGACCCATTCATTATTAACCAATCATAAAACCGTTCATTGGAATTGCTGTGGAAAACTAGGAGAAACCAGTGGCACATACAGTTGCTGTTTTGCTCCACAAAGAGGAAGAAGTAGCTCCCATCAGTATTGCAACGCTGTAAGCCATCTCGAGCAAGCCAACACAGATCCAGAATACCTGTTTGCAAGTTCATATCAGTATTTCCAGGATTCCAGGTGTTAGCTCTCTTAACATTTATTTTAACCCTACTAACCTTCTTTTGACCTAACCGGACACTGAAAGATCGAATCCCAAATATGCGGTCCCCTTCGATATCAGGTATATCCTACAAGAAATGGCAAACTTCATTCAGTGGAAAAGTAGGAGCATTTTGTTTGCAGATGAATATACAGCATTAAGATATTGCACAGAGTGATCAAGATTTAGAGTGGATATCAGAGCAGACAAAACTTTTGCTAGATATCATAAGGAGTTATATTCCATATGACTCGCTATTACCTTAAATAGTGCTATTACAACTGAGAAGAACGTCATAAATCCAGTTGCAAATATCAGTGGCCTAGAAAACATCGCCGGTCTTCTGAAAACAAAAGTCTGGTAGATTATGGACAAACAGTTAGGACAGGACTCAGGAAATAGACAACACAAACCATACACTGCAGTTATCATTTGAGTTTCAGAGAAAAGTCCACATGAGAATTTCAAAGACACCACAGGAAGACTTGCCTGAATGTGGAGGAAAAAAGCCAGCTGAACAATCACGGCACGAACTGCTAATATGCAGAGTGCTGCAACAACAGCAAATCTCTTCCATCTAAGGTACGGCAGCTGTAAAGACCAAAGACACAAATTACAGTTTCTTTAGGTAATTCAAGTAGTGACAACTGCTGCACACAAAAATTGGTACTATCTTAAATAATAAAAATAATGCCAGAAAGGGCATGATAAGTTACAGAATTTGTTCATGTACTTTTAAAGAAGTTGTCCATGTTCTTCCAATGAAGAAAAAAAAATGTCCCTTAATACATATGTCCAAGGAGTAGAACATTTAAGAAAAATCAGGACTATCTAAAACTACCACATGTTCTTTGAAGTGAATAGTACCATACTGCCACCTTAGATTTGGGCTATGGTTCATTTTCAAACCTTATTTTCTCTCCATGGCCCATCTACGTTGAGACATGTGGGTCACATGCTTCAGTAGTTAAATTTGTAAAGCCCATTTAGTCTTCCGATCCATTTACAGATGCCTCTCAGTTTGCATCACCTTTCATGATATGTGAAAGTTAAAGCAGTATGGATTGTGTAAGCATTTAATTACTTAGTGCTTCTATAATTGAAAAATGAGTTTTCCCTAGACATGAAGCCGTTAGTTCGGAGTGTCTAATGTTTCTCCTATAGTTAAGCTGTTTAACTGTGTTATTGCTGGAGTAGGCAAACTTGCCTGTTTGCATGTGAGTCATTCAACACTGTCGTTGAAACAAAACCAAACTTTACACTTACTTAGAAATGGAAAAGAAGTTCTTACAGAAGTCAAATGGAATATAAATTAAAAATTCATATTGCAGTTTACATAAAAAAATCCTTTGCAATGCACAAGAGAACCAATGAACCATCAATAACATTAAGAAATCCCATAAACGAGCCAGGAATCATTACTTATACCAAAATCCCTAGCTAGTTTGATAACTAGCACTACTAGGCCCAAAGACACGAGCTCTTACATTGATTGAATATGCAGTTCCAAGGACAAAGCTTATGAAAAGAGCCCAAAATAGAGGTTGTGATCCAACAGCCCATCCAAGGCCAAAGCTCTGCAATACACATGGCACATTCTGTTGAATCAGTCTGATAGACGATCAGTGAAGAATTTCAGGATAACTTTTCAAGGTCCTGATCAGGATTAGCGCAAATCTACACAACCATTGACATAAGTGACTAAATCTAATTGTTTCACATAACCTAGTAAATGGGGATCCTAGAACTACAATTTTACGATACATATTCATAATTCATTGGAAATTTAGAAGTAGAAAAAACGAGGAAGACTTCCAATTGCTTAATCAAGTATTGTCATTTTGCACCAATTAATTTAGAGTCCTTAATACTGAAACTTTTTCCCCTGAAATACTTGATCTCATTGTCTGAGATTGAGAGCACCATTATTTACAAAGATCAATACTCGATACTTCTGTTAGAGATAGATTTTGACTATGGCTTGTATAGTTGTATTGTACTCTTGTTATAGCACAAGCTGTATCCCGGATATATAATAAAAGGTCACCCAAACCTAGGGGTGTGTGGTGTTTTCCCTATTGCTTTCTAACCTTTCTACAACTTTAATAGGAATACCCCAAAGAGCATACCATTTAGTTTGAACTACTACTTTAGGCATCTCAGTATCAATATATCCAGAAAGTGAGGTCAAAATACAACATGAAGCACAATGCCAATTTCTTCCATATTGAGAGCATAGTTACCATAGCAGCAAAGACTGAAACTATAGCAACCCCAGTTGCAGGGGTGTATTCCCCAGATGCCAATGGAAGAGTTGGCTTGTTAACCTGGAGAAGTACAAACATTAGCTCCTAGCAGTTATTAATATGGTAGTAAAAGGTACTTACTTAATGGAGATTACAGTGAATTCAAAATACCTTGTCTATCTCAATGTCGAATAACTGGTTTAGTCCAACAATATATATATATATATATATATATATATATATATATATATATATATATATATATATATATATATATATATGAAAAGGGCAGCTACCACTGCCTACATAAGAGTACAAAGCGGCACAATGAAACAATACATCTTTCTGGTAATGAAAGGATAGGGATGCTCAAAGTTTCACTACCTCCAGCAAACCAGTGAGGAACAAAGGTGATATATCAGACAAGCTCTGGACAGCTAGAAGGGAAACTGAGACTATGCTTAATGCCTGCTTACACCAGCAAAATCTCTTGATCAATGAAGAGAAAACAAAAGAACAACACAAGGACATATTACTGGAGGATCATCTGAATGAAACAGTACAGCAACACGACTTAACTGTTCCTATGACAGTATGTGGCCGGGAAAATCTGTAAAATGCATCTAGAGAAGATGATATTGCCCTCCAGATGGTTATAGAATCATGTGCTTCAGGTTCAGACTGCAGCTGTTGCCCCGAAGCATTAACAGAAGTATTTAATGACTGACGTGATATCCTACAATAGGAGGATTTCCAATCGAAGAACTTCTGATGGTGATACAAGGTAGGACCTTGGGTCCTTTGGCTAGAAAAGCAAATTCGCCCTTCACCATTTCGTTGGATGGAACAACGTGGTGGTAGAAAATGATCTGGAAATTCAAACATTTCAATACTACTATATGTGGGAGTCTGGAATTAGTCGAAGAAGAAAAGAAACTTCAAGTGCTTCCCCTAGACCCCTACTACAGTCTACATGGGAGTCTGGAATTAGTCAAAGAAGAAAAGAAAACTTGAAGTGCTTCCCCTACTACAGTCTATATGGGAGTCTGGAATTAGTTAAAAAAGAAAATGAAACTTGAAGTGTTTCCCCTACACATATGCAAGTATAGTTGGGGTAACACTGCTTTTGATTATTTCAGCAAATATTTTTTATATTTTACATTCAGTAAAATTATGGCGCCCTGTTCGCTTGGCTTATAAGCCGTACTTTTTCAGCCAACGAACATTATTTTTCTCTCACAACAAATCAGCCAACGGTACTTTCAGCCATGGCTTATCAAATAAGCGAACAGGGCAATGAGCAGAAAACCAGAGGTACTTTTAGGCATCGAGAAGCTGTTAACAAATGTCTCTTTCCATGAACTAGTCAACAAGGTCACAAGTAAAACATTTACTTGAAGGTTACAAATGCCTTTAGTTTACAAATAACCTTCATTGCACCTAAAATAAGGAATGTCTTAATTTGAGAGAACTAACAAAAGGGAATTTCAAAACTATAATTATTTTAACTCCTCCTTGTACATGTAATCATCCTGATAAAAGCCCCGTTTGCTTCGCTGAAAAAACAAACCGAAACACTATTCTGGCTGATTTGTTGTGAGAGAAAAACACTGTTCCGACTAAAAAAATAAGCTGAAAAAGACGGATTATAAGAGAAGTGAACAAAGCCAAAATCAGAATTAGAAGAAACCAAAATCCTTCAAGGTTTTGACATTTTAATTCTCATCCCCTATCTTTAAAACGTGAAATTGGACTACACTAGCATAGCCCGGCTTGATTCCCCCGAAGTAACACTATTTTTAAGACTGAGCTATGTAACAGTAACAAATCCCTAATGTAACCACTGCTCCTGTATCATTTTCCCACTTATTCCAGGCCCCACAGCCCACAGGACGGAACGAGCCTTGTCATCTCTTGATTGGAGAAGACCAAAGGAACACTCGCACACCGAAGCGCATCACAAGCATCGTGGTCTTTGTGGCTACGAGAATATACACGACTAATTCGTCAAACTAAATATCCAGGTCAATAGTACTAAGCTTGTAAGCCAGGTTTTGTCACGGCGAGGGGGAAGGACCTCACTGACCTCGCGGGCGGGGGCGCCGGGCCACGCGGAGAGGAGGGACGGCCATAGGCGGAGCGCATCCATCCCTTGGCGCTGTGGTGCGGCGCGGCCGGGCGGGGGGAAGCGGGATGTGAGTGAGCGAGTGGAGCGGAGAGGCAGGGGCAGCGGGCGCAGTGCGGCAATGGTGGACGCACGCAGGCACGCGGCAGCAAGCAGGTGGCGCTCATCGCGTTGCGGCGGTTGCCAAGTCAGAAGACTCCAGCCCGCCGGCCCCGTGCCTTTCACGCTGGCGCTGCAGTGCTGCACTGTACCAGTGTGTGCACAGAAGTGGGAGCGAAGCGGCTTGACGTGTCGTGCCGTTGCACGGGTGGGCGGCAGGCGCAGTGCGGCAGTGGTGGACGCACGCAGCACGCGGCACGCGGCAGCAAGCAGGTGGTACTCGTCGCGCTGCGGCGGTTGCCAAGTCAGAAGACTCTGGCCCGGCGGTCCCGTGCCTTTCACGCTGCAGTGCTGCACTGTACCAGTGTGTGCACAGAAGTGGGAGCGAAGCGGCTTGACGTGTCGTGCCGTTGCACGGGTCTCCCCGCCCCGGGCGCGGCGAGTGCATCCGCAGCCGTCGCCGTCCGTAGATCGCGATCGCGCGATGCGACAATGCGTGCGAGTGTTTGGGCAGTTTTGTTCACCATATCACACAGACACAGGGCCTACAAATTTGGAAATGGTTGTTTCATTTATTCAAACCGAAAACCAAAAAAAGAAGAAGAAGAAGAAAAAACGGCCCTTAAACAATCGTGCGGCCGCGATATACAGTAGTACAAAATATCGTGCGGACCTTCCTGCGCCATACTCTTCCTCTCAAATTTAGAAATGTTGGCAGGGAGCCATTATATGATGCGAATCGGAATCGTGGCAGGCACAACACGCACATGCGCGTTCTCCACTGAACGAGCCTGGTTTTTTTCACGTGGAACTGAACACCGTTCACGACCTCATGCGACCACAGAATCTGCAGCGAATGCCACAAAGTGTGGAACGTGGAAGTGTTCATTTCAAAAGAAAACAGACAAAAAATCTTGTGCCCATGGTTTCTTTTGCTTATAGTAATAAGCTACATGGAATTCCTTTTAGAAATCCCCTCACTGAGATGCTGCAAAATTCTTCCTGGCTCAGGACCTTGGCAATGGCAGCAACTAGGGCAAGTTGCCATGGCATCGAAAAGGTTGTGATCGAAAAGAATTTTCCTAAGGATAAGGCTAATAATATAGTTCTTGCTTGTTATATAGACCTTTGCAACATATCTCTTAGTCGACTTATATATAGTAGTTAGCTTTTTATTATTAATACATAACTTATTTTTTTATCTCACAAAATTTGTTAAAGTTTGTGCATATGCTGGCTGAAAACCCACTTTTCTTGTCTCCGCTCTTCTCTTTCCTATAATTTCAGCATGAAGCTTACTTGCAGGCTGTTATCTACTTCCTCTGCCATAAGACGATCGCCGGCCACCGATCGTCTTCAAGTCCGTGCAGTGTTCTGTTCACTGAGAACAACTCCGTGCAGTGTTCTGTTCACTGAGAAACATCGACCACCTACCTACGCATTCAGCATCAAGTGTCACTTCCCTTGCTTGGAATAACGTAATAGTACAGTGTGTATATACAGTAAACAAGGACAAAGAGAAAGCGGCCAAACTGTACCAGGACAACAGAAACAGCTAAACTGGCTGAATGCAATGCTTCGGATTTATCTGCCGAATTTACCATTTAGGACAGCTTATTTGCAGGCGCTTTTGCTTTGTGCGGATGGTACTTTTACGGTTGTTCAGTGTTCACCGAACGTCCAAACCAAACAAGTCTACTTCCTGCAGGGCATCAGAGGCTAACATTCCAGTGATTCTACTATAAATAAAGTGATCTACTAAAGAATATTGAGACTACTATTCATTTGTAAAGAAATTTTTTTTTCATCATGCCTCATTTTTAGGCCTGTTTGGTTCTACTCCTAAAGTTTAGTGATCCCTCTAAAGTTTAGTGACCCCATGTTTAGTTATAGTGACTAAAGACCACTAAAGCAGCTGTCACATGTACAATCTAGTCACTTTTAGCTACTCCTTGATGACTAAAAACCACTAAACTTTAGTGGCCCCTAAACTTTAAGAAAGTGTTTGGCGTTTTAGTGACTAAAAGTGACTCACTAAACTTTAGAAGGATGAACCAAACATGCCTTTTATTTCCTCTCCTTTTGTAGGGGTGTTTGGTTCAGCCAGGAGCTCATAAATCTAGTCTCATTTAATTTTATTTAGTCATTTTTTACCCAAACACTACGATTAAATGAAACTAAAAGGGTTTTAATCCTCTCTAGCAACTCTGCAGTGATTAAATGTGACTAAACTATTTAGAAGGGACTAAATTTAGCAGTTACAATTCAAACAGGCCCTTAACATAGACCACAATCTCTCTCCAAATATATATAGCTTCTGCAAGCCACTATAACAAATATAAAACATCTACTTTTTTTTTTATCTAATCTCTTAGGGCTACTGGTAAAAAGCAGCGTTGGGAAGGCCTAATCTTCTGTCGCCTCAACGTCATGCCGTTCAGCCGTTGCCGTGCCAGACATCCTGAGAGCAGGCGAGAAAGCAGCGTGCACGGCAGGCCGAAAGCGACGTGGACACTGCTTCGTGCTCACGGCTCCACCCCACGTGACCGTCCCCGATCATCCCGTCCGACACAAGACGATATTTTCACCATGAGAGTTGAGAGCGGACAGCCGAGGAACCCGACAGCAGTAGGAATGGATAGAGTACTCAGGATGCTGCTAACTGATGAGGTTGCCCATTTGAGATCACCTGAATGGTGTTATTTATATTCAGAAGAAATCGAATGATACATCATACATCAGGTGCCCTTCAGGCTTCAGGTTGTCGCAATCTAAAGTATGCACAGCAGAATGTGGATATAGGTACACTATACACTGGTTGAAGAATGAGACTATTTTGACATCATACAGCACCATTTGCAAGGTGCAACATTATCGCCGTCTCTGACAAACACGGGCTCTTCAAGATTATTAGTAACCTTGCCTATCAAAACTTGAGCATATACCATGCAAATTGCAAACTGCCAGTTGCCTGGCCTGTAACCAAAGAAACCTTCCAAACTGTACCTAGTCCACCTTTTAGCACAGGCAGCCTACCTTCCAAACTGTGCATCCTCTATATAGGCTGTGAGTGTATGCAGCACTTTCTTATCAAAATTCGGGTCAGTTTCTGAAACCTCAGACAGGAAACTGCGAGCCTCCTCGAATCGCTTCGCTTTGCAGTAACTGTCGACTACTCTCCTGTAGGTCAGCTCCATAGGCTTCAGGTTGTGCTGAATCATGTAGTTGATAACCTCTCTAGCTTCACTGAACATCTCCAGGCTGGCGTATCCCCCAACGAGTGTGTGATAAGTTACGACACAGGGAGCCATGCCGTCAGCGATCATCTCGGAGAGGATCCTCTGAGCTTCTCTGATCAGCCCTTGCTTGCAGAATCCGTTTATGACCGTGTTATAGGACACGACGTCAGGCTTCACCTGAGAGCTTTTGAGCTGGTTCAGTATCTTCTCAGCCTCCCACGATTCGCTACACTTTGCGTACATGTCCATCAAGCTATTGTAAGTGATGAGGTCAGGGCTCAGCCCGCTCTGCTTGATTGAATCGAGGATCTCGGTGGCCTTGCTGTACATCCCGTTTTTGGCATACATTGACAGCATGGAGTTGAATATGACGAGGTCAGGATTGTAACCTCTGGCCTTTACCTCTTGAAATGCCTTCTCAATGCCACCCAATCGTCGGCACTTGAAATTGGCAATGACAAGGGTCCTCAAGATAACCCAACTTAGGAAAACGGTACCTCCGTAAACTTCTTTTTCGATTGCGTCTATCCCTGCAATGTTGCCCCCCTTTGCATAACACTGAAGCAATAGTGAATATGACTGATCATTCGGCTTAAACCCCTTGGTCCTCATTTTGCTTACGATTGACTGAGCGGTGGACCAATCACCTTGTCGCGATAGCACATTCAACAATGCGTTGTATGTGGTGAGGCAGGGGGTGAATCCAGCACTGGTCATTTCATTGTACATCTTGAAAGCATTAGTCCTTGAGCCACACCGACCATATGCAGCTATCAGGGTGTTGTAGGTGTCTCGGCTCAGTTCAACCCCACAAGACTTCATCCCCTCCAAAACCCGGGTGACATAGTCCTCCATGCCACGCTTCCCACAGACTGCAAGCATTGTGTTCCATGTGACCCGATTTGGTGTGCATCCACTCCTTGACATCTCTCCAAGCATCTCTAGCATCACAGTGAACCTTGATTTCTTGCCAAGCATGCCAAGGATAAGATTGTATGTGTTCACATTCGGCACACACCCGCTCTTCTTCATCTGGTCAAACAGAGCAAGTGCCTCATCCACCTTCCCAACATTCCCATAAGCTGTCATCACGGTGTTATATGTGAATGCGTTTGGCAATAAACCCTTGGATGTCATTGTGTCCAGGCACTTGGCAGCCTCCTCATAGAACCCAGCCCGGGCATATGTTCCGGCGAGCTCATTGTACGTCACAGCATCTGGCTGACAACCGTTCTGCTCCATCTCCTTAAGCACTCGCAGCGCCTTGGTGTAGTTTCCGGCCTTGCCAAACACCTGGAGCAGCGCATTGTAGGTGACGACGCACGGGGCGTGGCCCCGGGCCTTGAGGTCCTCGAAGAATGCCACCGCCTCATCAACAAGCCCGTCACGGCAACACGCGGCGATCACCGTGCTGGCGGTGAAGTCGTCGGGCTCGACCCCGGCGGCCCGCATCTCATCTAGGAGGGCGACAATCTGCGGCCACGAGCGGCCCATCCGGCCGTACACGTCGAGCACGACGTTGTAGGTGACGAGCGTGGGCGCCACCCCCTGCCGCCGGAGCTCGGCGAAGAGCTCGACCGCGCGCTCGTACCGACCCGCCCGGGAGAGCGCGTGGAGCACGGTGGTGTAGGCGCGGACGTCGAGGCGGGACCCGGGCGGGAGCGGCATTTCGTCGAGCAGCGCGCAGACGGCGTCGTGCTGGCCCTCGCGCCCCAGCGCGCGGACGACCATCTCGAGCGCGGACGCGTCGGCGGCGCCCTCGGCGCCGGCCCATCGGAGGAGCGCGAGCGCCCACTCCCAGTGCCCCGAGAGCTCGAGCGCCTTGAGCAGGGACGGGATGTCCGCGCGGAGGAGCTCGTCGCGGCGGGAGGCGAGGAAGGCCGCGAGTGTCGGGAGCGGGTGCGAGGAGATGGCGAGCACGAGCGCCTGCGCGGCGGGGGAGAGGAAGGAGTGCGGCGGCGTCGGTGTCGGGTGCGACCGCCGCGGCGCGGGAGCCGGCGCCGGCGCCGCGGTGAGGTGGAGCAGGAGCGAGTCGAGCGGGAGCGAGGAGGGAGACGGCGGCGGGGGCGCGGCCGGGATGAGCGGGCCCCGCTTCCTCGGCCCCGCCGGGAGGGTGGGCTTGTTCGGGAACAGCCCCCGGCCGGTGGCCTCCATCGGCGGCGGCGGTGCGCGTTGGCCGCTCGGTGCAGGAGCGGCAGGCAACGACTACGAGCTCGTGAGCGTGGAGGGGAGGCGGAGGCCCGCGTGCAGCATGCCAGCTAGGGGATTGGGTTTACAGATACGGTGGCGGGAGCGGGTGGACGGGAAGTTGGCTGGCGGGAAGAGGGCGGCGAGGCGACCCGCTCCGCTGTTGTGTTTGGGAGATGGAGATCTGAACCTGATCGGATCAGTCAGTGGCGCCGATCCCTGATCGAGTGGCGCAAATCTGCTGCCGGCACATCTGATCTGCCGACTACTTCTGGCGAATTCTGACCACCCACCGTCGATTCGCGCTTCGAGGGCTTGACCCTTTTGGCCTTGTGTCCAGGGCCCAAAATTTTTTCGTCGAATTTTGGCGCTTATACAGAGGACGAAATCCACAAGACGCCACCCTTTTGGCCTTTTGAATGCAATCGTAACAATGAAAAACGCTATAGTTGCATTTTGCAAAAAAAATTGCAACTAAACTGGGCCCCAGTGTGGGTGTGGCCAATCTGTTTTCACTGTCCAGGTGCAGCACGCGAGCTGAAGCTGCGTCTGGCGATAAAACGACATATGATCTGTCAACGTAAGACAGGCTAGAAATTTAGCTATCTGCTGCTGACAATAGTATTTATGAAACATGATTTACATGGAGTCGATTTGGTAATAATGATAATGATGTCAATACATCGGCCCGTTCGCTTCGTTGAAAAAACAAGTCAAAACACTGTTCCGGCTGATTTGTTGTGAGAGAGAAAACACTGTTCCAGCTGAAAAAACAAGCTGAAAAAGACGGATTATAAGAGAAGCGAACAGAGCCATCCTCTCTTTCCCCTTGTCCAGTTGTCCGTCCGGATGGACCCCGCACTCGTCCACGCCGCCCCTACCCGCGTCGCCCGCTCGCTCTGCTCGTGGGACACCCGTTCACGCCCGCGCCGCACACGGCGATCCCGACGCCCTAGGCGCTCGCTAGGTCGCTCCTGGACTCGCGCCTCCCGCTGCGGCCGTGCTCCATCCGCCTACCCCTTGCCCTTGTCGAGGTCTGTGCTGTCGACGAGCTCCACACTGGCGACCTCCGCGTCGACAAGCCTCCATTCGTCCAAGCAGTAAGCAAATGCTACGTTGAAAGTGCATGTTACAATAGTATGTTTCAGATATTTCCGAGGTATGTTGCAATATTGTATATTGATGTTGCAAAAGTAGATCGGAACGTTACACTTGTAATGGCTATATACGTATGTTTCTAGTGATGTTCTAAATGTTTCATATGTTTCCAGATGAATGTTGCAAATGTTTTGTTTGGATGTTGCAAAAGTAGATCTAGATGCTGCATATACATGCATGTTGCAAGCATATGTTTCAAGTGTTTTCAAATGTTTCATACGTATGTTTGTAAGTGTTTTATCCGGATGTTGCATATGTTCAATTGTTTTCAAATGTTTTTCCAGACGTTTTTGCAAGTGTTTCAGACACTTGTTTCAAGTGTTTCATCTGTCTTCTTTTGCATGTTGCAACTGTTGCACCTGGATGTTTTTTCAAAAGTAGATCGGATGTTGCACATGAGATGCACATGGAAAGCGGTCGGCAGCGCGAACGACGTCCGGGGCGGCATGGTCGACGTCCGGGACAACGCGGCACCACTACTGGTGCACTCCCTCGTGAGCCCGACGCGCTAGGCACTTGTTCGCTCCCTATGCGGGTAGCGTCCAAACGCTAGCGCCTGAATCGAACATCCGGTGCTAGCATGTCCATTCTCTGAAACATTAATGCACACATAAAAAACTTCAGCCCCGTTCGCTTTGAAAAAACAAGCGGAAACACTGTTCCGACTGATTTGTTGTGAGAAAAAACGCTGTTCTAGCTAAAAAGACAAGACGAAAAATACGGATTATAAGACAAACGAACAGGCACTTCAATTCTCTAGTTCTGCTGCCTGCTGTGCCTCGCCAAGTTATTCAAAAGTTCGATAAGTTAAGATTGGCATTAAGATGGCTCACACAGTCACACTTTACAGAAGTTACAGGTAACTGAAAAAGGCACCCAAATTCAATCCAAACGGAACTCAAACCTACGAAGCAGGGGTGCTCGCATCATCTGAGCTAGGTCCATTCCTAGTTTACAAGTAGACCATGATTACAACCAAGGGCATGAAAGGTTGCCATACCTTGTTCCTATATAAAAATGAAAAATGCTGGAAGTTACCTCGCCTTCCTGGGCCTCCCAACAGGTCTCTTCACCGGAACGTCACCCAACTCTTGCTCTTGTTCTGTCAGTACCAGCTTGCTTTGCTCAAGCAAGTCCATCTCCGTTTTGAGTATGGCATCGTTGTTCTTCCGACGTGAACCCTTTGCAGGTGACCTTGTTGGAGTTGCCGTGGTTTTTTTTGAGTTGGGTTGCCTTCTTCTGCGGTTCTTGGAGCCATTTTGTACTTGAATGCCCATCGGCAGGCTGAAATAGACATTTACAGAATACTTTATTGGCACATTACTTCTTTTAACTTTCAAAGACATTTAACCTGACAGCTACAGCAAAACAAAAAAAAACTTGGGCATAATATGGTACAGAATGTTTACTGCACCCGACAACCCTTTACTAGAAACTTCAAAGATGTAATTCAGGTGGTGGATATTAAGTGATCAATGATAACAGCTCATCATAAAAGAAGTGCTCTAGAAATGTGTGATTTTGAATCATAAACACAAGGTTAAAGTTAACAGACAGCATTGTCCTATATAGCAACTACAATCCTAAGCCATCGACTCTCGACATTTTGAACCTAAATTCAAGTCAAACTCCTCTAGCAAAAATCAAATATTCCAAGTTCTTATGGCAAAGCACAGCCACCACAAGTACTAGTAAACGTTGGTGTTGGTTAAACTCTTGCACAGAATAATAGTCTAGGAAGAGTGGTATGATATACTACCTGGGTGCAGCTTCAATATCCTCCTTCAACATTAATTTTGAGAGAGAGCATGAATCGTCACAGGCAGCATCTGCTCAGTAATTGCAAATAATAATAATATAAATTCAGAGGATGTTGAGGGATCAATCTCATATGACAAGCAAGAAAAACATATTCAATGACGATAACATACGCTCTTGCTTCCTGTGTGATAAGTCCATCATCTGCTGCTCGAAAGGAATAAATGCATTCAAAGGCTCCACCTTCAAAGCAAAGCCTTTCTTCAGGTCCTATGGTAAAAGTCATCTCATCTTAATGTCACGACAAATAGCATGTTCTCACGTGAAAGAAAGGCATCCAACAAATCTTGGGTACAGTGGGATATCAGTACCTCACTAGAACACTGATTAAGTGTTGTAGCACCAAAACCTTTTTGTTCCCTACCAGCTTGCGGAGAACTGGAATCAAATAGCTGTGGAGTTACAGCTGAAGGTTTATCGGGGACATCTAATATTTCATCAGCAGTTTCAACTTTTGAAATAAAGTTAGGGTATGTTAAATTGTTGGCTCCCATAATATCATTTAATAGTTTATTTCCATCTCTGGAAGCATTTGGATTCCTGGTAGTGAGCTCTTCACGTGAATTTGCAGCTGATAAGAAAAATAGGTATAAGTTGTAGATGTACGCAAATTGATAATCTTTCAGAGGTTTAGTGGTCTTTCTCAACTAATAGCTGAAATGATTAATCTCAACCTGGATGATTTCGAATAATATCAACTTGCTTGAATTTTGAAATGTCCCACGAATTTCCATTGATCTTTGGCCTGACTCTTCGAATCTCCCCATATGCATCCTCTCTAACAGAGTAATTTCGTTTGAGAACCTGCAGTCAAGTATACAGCGATAAATTTCTTTCATTCCAGAGTTGCCAAAACAAATCCATAATTTTGTGATTGTAAGATTCAAAAGATACTCATCAAACTAAACTCGTTTATATAGTGAAAAGAAAGTCACTTGAGTCAGTTTCGAATAGATATATATAGCAACACACTAATTGTGCTTTGGACGCATATAGATACAAAATATTTTGCATACTGACAACAACAACAATTCTGAATACTCGGTGCTTGAGACTAGATTAAGGTCACACAGTTAGGAATTTATGTATGTCCACCCAAAAACTTTAAACATGAAACTAATAATGTATGTCCATGGAGAAAACCATAATAAGCTAGGTCAGTGTGAACTTACAGAAGGTTGCTGCCAAATTGAGTACAGCAACCGAACTAAAAATTGGCAACTACTCCCTCTGCCCCTAAAAGAAAGTCATTCTAATTTTGTCTTAAAAAAAAAATATCAACGTTGGCCAATTTTATATATAAAAGTACTAATATGTATTGTATTAAATAAGTATCATTAGATTCATCAAGAAATATATGTACGTCTATTTAATATCATAAATGCTGACTCTTCTCCATATTGGTCAAATTTAAGAAAGTTTGGCTTTATGACAAAACTATAATGATTTTCTTTTAGGGGCGGAGGTAGTAACATCACTTTAAGGTGCATGTATGATTAATTGAATATCAGAAGACCGCCTCAAACACCATTTGCTGGATAAGACCTATGAGAAAAATCTCCTGAAGA